TTTCTCTACTATGACAACACAATGTACAAGCAAACAGTATTCCAATTTGATTATAAATACTAAAAACATGCACTGATTATTAGTTCATATGTTCCACAGGTAGTCTCAAGAGAAGAACACTAACCTTCATTCATGCTGTCATCCCTGTCAGGATGGGGTCTAAACTTCTCAATGGTCTGGCAACTCAGTAGGCGAATGTTGGTGGCCTGGGCCCTAAGAGGAAAAGCTGTGCCATTTAACTCCTGACTGTAACGTTCCTCACAGTACTCCAGACCCTGAGTGACACAAAAGAGAATAAACCAAGGAGGTTAGGATTTGCTCGGACTGACAGGACCAGCAATGTAAATAATTCTTTAATTAAAATGAATAGACAGTAAATATTGTTGTAATCGTGTATGCACTAAAGACCTCATAGAGGATCTTCCCAGATGCTAGACACTTCCTTTCACTGAAGGCCAGCTGAAGCAGGTGGAGGCTGACCATATCTCCCTCGCTGTGTGGGAGTGAGAGGAGGTAGAGGACAAAATAAGAGCTTGGAAAATAAACACACACCAAAAGAACCCACTTTGCCTGGATGGAGTATTTGTTACATGTAAGACTTACAGGTCCTGAGAAGACTGGACAGCCCAGAGGTAGCAACAATTCCTGGGGTCGTTTTCTGGCTCCTGGAAGGTGAAAGCATGGACAGGCACCCTGCCACCCTCTAACTGGGAGTGGTATCTATGCATGAAAAAAATATAAACTGAACATTTATACAGATATATACAGATACAGTAAATGCAATTATCAGTGGTATATGATTACATTATATTATAGCCGTTTATAAATTCAAAGGAAACACAGACTCTTTCCAACTACTGTTGACAATACAAGTCAAATTAAATGTACCAACAGTCTAAATTTACTCTACAAGACATACAGTAATAATGCAATGTGCCTTATTTTAAAAGGGACAGGCTATCCAGAATTAAAACCCACATATCTTCCCTGCCCTTCTTCCCCACTTTCACAAAATATGGAAGTCAGAAGAAATACGAAGACTCACTCCTTCTTTAGAACCTTCATGTTCCACAGTTGTAAGTATCCGTCAGAAAATCCCACTGCCAGCTGGTTGGTCCTGGAGATGTACTGCAGAGCTGTGGCTCCAACTCCACTGGGCCCATTCAGCTGGAGACAAAGATGTCTGCCCTGTCTGGTACTGACTTCTCTAAGCCTGGGGATCTCTGCAGGAGACTTGGTCACTACCTGCAGGTCTGGGATTAGAAAGTAAATAAAGAAGATGGTTTTAGATAAAGAAGTCAAAGTGTGTGGCAGGAAAAACAAAATAAGCAATCCTTTACTAATTTACACAAGGAACACCTACAATGGACTTCTAGGTGTCAGTATACAGTATAAATATTTTTTTCCCCACACGCTGTGCAGATTAGGGAAAACTATCCTCTTCCGAATAAGATTAAGAGCAGTTTGTAACAGACAGAAGACAAACAAAAACCACACACATAAGCATGCAAATACGCATAAACCCAACGCTTCCTCATGCAAGCTCCTCACCTGAAGCCTCCAGTTCACTTTGGCTGCAGGACAGGTCGTCAAGACAGAGGTCCACAAGCAGAACATGACCAAGATCTGTTACTACAGCGGCAATGCCAAAGAACCAGCGCAGGCTCTGGTGAAGATGCTGGGTCGAAGTGCTTGCTCCGCCATAGCTCACTAATGGCTCAATGGCTGTAATCTAGACAACAGGGAGGGTTGAAAGAAGACAAGAAAAACAGATGCTGTTCAGGTTTGGATGGATAGGCTAGGCTGCCGTAGGCAAACACTGGCTGAATGACACAAGTGTATCAGAAAGTTTAATCTAAATTCTTAGTACTTACTTTTTCTTAAATATAAATCTCTATTTGACACAAAAAGCTTCTAATGTAAAGCAAAAGCTACATTTGGCTCTCACAGGAGCAATGCTAATAGCGAGAATGTTAAACTGACTGTTAGCTAACATCAAGAAATATTGCAGGCTGTAAATGTTTTTTGCATTCATTGTAAAGACATGAACATTTGTTGAGATACATCTGGTTCAGGTTGCCTACAAGGGTTGTTTTGACTTTTTCCACTTACAACACAAAGACATGTCAGCAATGAGAAACACACACAAAGCACAAGACCATCTCTACCAGTTAAGAGTAGAGGTGCCCCAGGTACACAGCCAACTCACCCTGCCTGGTATAACCACAGCTTTGACCACCCTTGACAGTCCCAAGTCATAGAGACACAGCACGCTGCCCTCTGCTTCCTCCAAGCCAACCAGCAACCCAGACCTAGTAAATAAAACAGTACAGAAGTTAAGTTTGAGATGTCCTCAGCAGCACTGTCATTTATATACATTTAAAAATCTTTCTTTGTAGAAGCACGTAATTCTTACAGTTGTTGACTATCACTTATCACAAATTTGACTATGTATTAAGTAGTTTGTTTTCTTTTATTACAGTCCATCGTTGAGTGATAACATAAATAGTGAAACATAGTTCTGACCGTTTGAGCCAGCTGAAGTCCCTGGCAGCTAGGACACTGGGTGGGTGCTCGCCTCCTCCACTGAAGCAGTACGCAGACAGCCGTTCTCCTGTCACAGCATGGACAACCTCCAGATGGGGGCCACAGGCCAGCCAGGCCAGCCCACTGCGGCCTACACACACACACACACACGGAAATGAAAGGTTAAGGTCATGAGACAACGAGTGACCTGCAGACAGCTGTTCCTAAGTTAAAATCTAAATAAGTGATTATGTGGAATATTCCAGCATTATGTTTTTCAAGACAATGGTATATATGAACTCCTAAACTTACTTCTTAACTAGGAAATCTGAAAAATTGATTTTATTCACTGTGAATTGGCAAAAAAATGACTCAACAGATTTTTCAGTTTTATTTTGATATTTCTTAAATAACTTAAGATGCCTCAACAATTTCTACTGCTTTAAAGAAAAATACTGAATATAAAATTGGTCACGTTGCCTACCTGGGTGTTAATAATAAATAAATAAATACTTCAATGTGTTTATTTTGCTCATTGAGGGAGTAGTGACAACGTGTTTTAAACCTTCGATTTGTCATCGCTACTAAGAATGGAGGGAAGAAAAAATTCATTCATAGAGCTCAATGATCATAAAAATAGACTTACCAACAGTGAACTTCCCATGTAGTACAGAGTCTAGGGTGATCTCATCCTCCCCCAGAGCATCTACAGTCACGCCTGGAAACGGCAGCAGGCTGCTGGTGACTTGGGCAGTCAGGTCATGCATTGTTCACTGTATAAACAGGAAATACAATAAGTTAGTTAGTCCATTTACCCTTCATTAATAATTTACTATAAATAATGAAAAATGATTGCTAAAGTTATGTGGTCAAAATATAATTCTATTTGTGAATATCACCCTGCCCTTGATACTTTCTCACTAATTAAACATAAATAACGTAGAGTAAAAAGAGAACCTGTGAAACACTATTTCTAAACCCCTCCTACTCCATAAATCCACTTCAGGCTTTATCTGCTCGGCTGGGTTTTACAGTACAAAAGAGGTCTTTCTTTCAACCACACAGTTGCAGCCCCAGTTGTCAGGAAATGTACGGTCAGCAAACTTGCTGACAACTGGGGCTGCCACTGAGTTTGAGTTGTAATCAACAACACATCTGTTTGCAGACGTGAGTTCTGATTAAGTGCATGAGTAAAGCACTATTTGAATCATCGGTCAGAGGTTTTACCCTGGGTTGATTTCTAATTACTCTTGTGATGTTATTACCCATATTGACCCAATTCTGTAGATGTTTATGTTGTGCCCTGCCTTGCACCAGTGTTTCAACAAGATAATGTTATCTCCAGCGGAGTGGTATACATGGTGCTTTCAAGGCCCACTCCAACTGAAGGGAAATTTCTGTTCTGTTTCCTAGCGTGCAAAAACAGGACACAATACTGCCCTCTATGACCACTCTGGAAAACACAGTGAATTCAAGTGAACTCCCGCGCAACCAGCCTGTCAGTACGCAGCCACATGCCATGACCTGAGGTTGAACATGTTAGACCCATTACAACAATCATCAACTAAACAACCCGCATCTGTGCACTGAAGGGTGTCGCCACATTGTCACAGACTACCGACAGAGGCAAAGACTTCACAACAGCAAAGAAGCAGATTCAAATAACAAATCTAACTTCAATAAATAAAAAAAGTCCAGCGCTCACGTGTCAATATGTGCAGGTGTGTGAGTGAGCACCGATCTTATTTGTGACTTTACACAACACAGAACAACGTTCAAACGTGATCGTCAAACACATGAGACACGATTTAAAAGTTAGTCACATGTTTAACAGTTAACAAGCTAATGTTAGCTCAGTCGTTAGCATGTGAGCTGAGCTAGCTGGACATAATGTAAACAAACAGCGGATCGCTTTCTTTATTCAATGTAGGGTGAAGTGCAGTTAAACTCAGTCCAGGGGAATGACACATTACACATATGCTAACGCTACTGAGTGCTAAACGAGGACTGGTCGCTGCTTTATGAGTACATTAGCAGGCTACCCAGTTAGCCTGCAAGGTCACGGAGGATTACAGTTTATCACGTTAAAGTTAGTCTAACGAGCTACAAGCTACATCAACATGGGGTTGTTGTATTTATTTTACCTTGTGCCTGCTGGTTACTTGTGTGATCTGTGCTACAACAGTCCACAACGCGGATTAACATGTAATCCTAAAGTTAGTTTAATCACCCGAATAGTAACTATCTGGTTAAAACAGAGTCGGGGTGGCTAACTAGGTTGAGGTCCGCTGCAGTGAACTACAGCGACTGCTGGCGTTACTGTTAGCAAAGCAGCAGCTACCTTATTCTTGTGTGACCCACTTTTAAAACAGGCGGCCAGGACTATCGTTGGTAATTCACCCGAGCCAACATCTTATTATAATCCCGCTGTCGCCTTGTCTTCACTTGAATCTGTGCACACAGCTAGCTAGGTGGCGTTAAATGTCGCTTTAGCTTTAGCTGGAACAAAACGCACTTAGCTCGTAGCTACTGGCAACATCACGGTGCAGCGACAAAACACTCACACACAGCTGTTTAATCGACAGAGGGATTTATCCGGCATGAACAAGTCCAGTGAACTAGCCCTGGTAGCTCTCTCCCAACTACGCTGGAAAACGTGATGCAATGTGCCGCTAGCTGCTACCAGCTCTCGTTACACTACCTGTCTGATGAGCACGGCTTTATCACAGCCACCGATGTTTGCTTCTTCCTTGACGAGTCGCCCGATTCCTCCTCTCTCCTCTGTCATAATCCGTTTCTTTTCAAAGTGCAGCTCATACGTAGAGTCCTCTGTGCGCTTCTACTGATTGACAAGCTAGAGATGCTCCTCTGACTTCAGGCTTCAGGCTTCAGGCTTCAAGCTCTAAGCGCCATTTCCACAGTGGGAAAGTGCTCCATGCTGATCTTCTTCACCGGCGCTGCTTCTGGCAGAGTAGACACCACGCAGGCGCACTGCTGCCCTCTTCCGTCTGGGCGTAGTTTCTGTTTACACGCATATATTACTTTTGGGCTAAACATTTAAATGTGCCCCACCTGCTACTCTCCATACTCCTTCTGGTGAATCTCTATATTTGTTCGCAGTCACGTTAAGGTGTTTTCTGGCCCTACCAGCCACTGGGGCACAATTGGCTAGTGTACTTGTTTACTTACTTAATATAGATTCAAAATTGTAGACATATAATGTATATTCTACTTCCCAGAAACGCCCAGAAGTGTTGAGTACTTGAGTTAGAAATGTACTTACTTGTGTTCAGGTGGAATTTGCTCCTCCCCATGAACCTCCTTTCCTAATCCAGAAGCATCTTGAGGCTTTCTCCACTCTGTAATGTTCTTGATAACTCTTATCCTTCCCTTTCCAGTGATGCCCAGGTCTCTCCAGGTTTCGTGGAGTGATTGCCCTGCAAAACCTAGCCAACCAACATGGGCATGCACCTTGCCTTCTAGCCCTGCTTCTGACAGTCGATGGCCAGCTTTTCATACAGCACGGTCAGCTCCATTATAACAATGTTCTTTGTTGCCTCTGAGGCCAGGATGATGTTTGGCCTCAAGGTGGTCAAAATTGTCTGGGTGGTGGGGCGTGCTTGTCTGCTGTTGCATATGCTGATAGTTCCTGCGATGGGTTTCAGAACCTGGTTCTGGCGCCGGGTTTACCGGCCTTTGGGAAGCAGCTGAGGATGTGCTCTAATGTCCCCTTGCCTGAGCATTGCACACAAACACTGTGGCCTCGCAGCAATAATGGGAGGATTCAAGTCTGGGGTCAAGGCCCAGAGTTGAGCCCTCCCCTTACTGCTCTGAGGCCTCAGTGTTCAACACTGTGGGCCTTGACCCTCTTGCTGTGAGGAGTACAGAGTGCTCACTGTGTTGGCGTGGGTTTACTCCGAGAGGCTTTGGTTTCCTCCCACATTTTAAATAATTATAATAAAATCAAGGCTGGTATCTCCTTCAAATAGTAAACACAACACACAGCCTTTCAGTAACTATTATACTGCAACCTAAACTTATCTACACACTTTATGTCTGACTACAGTAACGTTACTGTCCCTCACACCGGGAAAGACTTCCCACAACAAACCGGCACAGGTTACTTAAAAGCCCACCTTCCTTAAAGGGGAAGGCTCAGCCGGTAACACACAGGTGCAGTTAGGCTGTGGATGGAGGAAGGATCAGATCTACAACAGAAGCCTTTCCTCCAGTGCTGACAATAATCCTTGAGGAAACTCTGGAACCAATTTAAAAGACCTGTCTTATTTTCTCTATAGTATATTTACCATTGTAATACAGCGCAGTCACTTTTCAGGCAGTGCTAATATCTCTCTGAATATACGAACTTCTATTTGTATGCCTCACAGAACTTGGAAACTACATTTCCCAAGAGGTGTAGACAGTTGACAATGATTGCATTGCTGTGTATTCTCTGATGAAGGTCAGATAGACCAATCAACTGAAGACATCATAATAAACGTGTGTGGATATAGTCAACACTATATCTATACACATTTATGATAAGTTAAACTCCTGCTAAATCATTGAAAAGCTCTTCTGGATCTGGAGGATCACAGATCATATCAGAGGACAAAGTCTGTGAGTGTCTGGCTGACACTATTTCACTCACCTTCGCGGGGGCGACAGGTGTTACAGAAAGCATCAGTTGCAGAAGAACCAAAAAGGTAACAGACATCCTTGCCAGAAAAGTGACGGAGAGAGTGAACTCAGCTCTTAAAAAGCTGTGGAAGCAGTGGGATCAGCAGCGAGGGGAGTGAACCACCTGTCTTAAATCTTCACCCGCAGACTAAAAATCATAGTCAGACACATGATAAAAATCTTTCAGACAGATTTATGAAGCTATGAGGTACTGGCTCAACCAGCAGGTGCAGCTGAACCAAAGGGAGAGGGACCGTGCAAGTATTGCTGTGAAGCAGATAAAGGGAGTCATAAGTCTGCCAGCACTCACAGACGGCCCCTCAGTAAATGTAAGGGACACTGACACCTGTGTTGGAACCAGAACCAGCGTCCATCAGTCTGGAGACAGATTTCAGTGGTAAAACACTTTGCATCACTGTTGAGCCAATCCATCCACTGCGCCTTGAACTCTTTGCTGTGATGAGTACATGAGTAGTTGTTTTTAAAATCTTCCAAGATGTAACGTTAGATAACTCAGGATGAATTCTAATGACTCTTGTAAACTTTTAAGGATATTTTATTGTCATTCTCAACAAGGGTATAGGATGGAATTTAGAGATAGTTCTCTTTATGCTACCTTCAAAAAGAAATAAAATAAAACATTGATCAGTGAGTCATAAGTAAAATAAAAGTTTTATTTAAAAAAATATATATATTATTCATTTGTATGATGAATTGTTGTGGAAGAATTCAACAGCCTCACTGTCTGAGGGAAGAAGCTGTCTTTAAGTCTGGTGGTACGTCAGCAGAAGCTTCTGACCTCTTCCCAGATGACAGTAGGGTGAACAGGCTGTGGGTGCTGTCTGTTAGTGATCCTTCAGGCTCTGCACAGGCACCTCACCTCACTATCTATTTTCAAAGTTCTTAAAAAAACAAACAAAAAAAAACAAACAAGGAAAGACATGCACCCTATAATTAACTTTCTGATTAAAAATAAATCACAAACACTGTCAAAAATATACAAAACCTTTGAGAACAACATGGACACAAACAATAGCATTCAGAAACAACGGATTTCAAAAACCAACTAGTGGAATGAAGAATGCAAAGAAATTCATAAAACAACAAATTCTAAATATTGGAGGGAACTTGCATAGAAATTCTGTATCATATGTTATACATATATAATTTATGTATCTTTTCTTTGAATCCCTTTGTCATTTCCGTGTCTTACAAATGAGATGAAATTGCGTAATTTCCCCCTTTTTTTTTATTACTGTCCTGTGCTGTCCATTTTTAACTGCCATTTAGATACTGGGAGTTTACTACACAAGAAGATGGAATTCAAAAGGGATCCACCTTGTTTACAAACGTAACAGCTTGTCAACAAGCCATTAGTAGATTACGGGACTGGGTTGGTGGTAACATTAACTGTTGATTTGTTAAATACAGTGGATTAAGTTTCTCTCTTTATTTATGTTTAATTTTTGATCAACTTACTTGCATTGAGACTTGACTTTCCATGCGGCCATTATTCATTCATATATATATATATATATAATATGATAAGAAGACTGAACATGCACATGGCACTGAGCTCTCCTCATTCTAAAAGTCCAATATATTAAGCATATAAATTAATTGACTAAAAATTAATTAAAACAACTTCTGGGTTAAATGACCATTTTGTATTTTGAAAATTCAGATTCAGCATCCTCAATAACCCCCAAAACCACTGGAATATAGGTCATATAGGTCAGTATGCTAATTAAGGCTGATTATGCTAATTGCCCAACATATGCAAATTAGCATCAGGCAGTTTCTATATGCTGGGGACCCATACTTTAAATTTCTAGCATAAAACTTTAGGGTATTCAACTGCACCACATTTAGGTTCAAGGTAAAGTTTATTGCCATGCTAAATTAAATGTGAGGATATTATGCTACATATTTTAGAAGACACAATAAAAACATGTATAAAAAGTAAAAAATAAAAAATTAGAACTATATCTGGTGAGTAAAAAGGGTCACTATATACAAACATAATCTAACACAGTTGTAAAGGTAGACTGTGTGATGATAGTACCCACCTTACATAGTGAAACAAGACAGAGTAGAATGCAGGTCTGATGGCATCATGTGTTCATTATGTGTGTGCAAGAGGCCCTTTCATATTGCACTGCCTGAGACATATAATAGTGTGAAAAAGGAAGTTGTGCAACTGATGCCGTTATCCAACTTCTCTCTAAGACTCATTGTTGAATTATGATCATAATAGTGCAAAAACCAAAAACATATTTTGGGCAGCCTGTAGAGCATGCAGTGCAGAGACTGATGAGAGGAGTGGTGTTTCTTATCATTTGCATGTGTTAAGAACTCTCACAGCCAGAGAGAGGACACTTCCCAGAAATCTGGTGGTAGGGCAGCTTGAAAAGACTGTGGCAGACTCCGTATCTCATTGAGGTCACTGATGTTGGATAGCAAAGTGCAGGTTCAGGTTCATGTTACTTTATTAGTACTTTATTCAAGTTTGTCAAGTTGACCAAAGCTGTTTGAACAGAAAAAAAGAGGTTAGGAGGCCCTTGAAAGCCTTTACTGTTGGAGAAAATGGTTTATAAAAAAAATGTTTTTTGTAAAACAAGCACACAAGCATAAACAGACAACAGTAATGATTAGCTCTGTGAGGAATATGGCAGCAAACAGTTATGCACGTTAGATGATCATCTAACAGTAACACATTTCCATTATTTGGCTTTTTTGAGTCCTTTAACAGCTTTTAAAATCCAGTATTTGCAGTCTTGTGTCTTAAAAAAGGCAAATGAGAATTGAGTGAATGTGATATGATTTATCAATTGATTGTAAGGCACACAAATGCTGCTACATTATCTATAAACAAAACACTTGAAAAGAAAAAGACATAATACAAAAATAGTTTCCTTTTTTACAATAATTAACTGACGGAAATACAATTACATAAGTGCCGCGCTCTGAGGCTGTGTTTTTTTCCTCATCTGCCGCTCAATCATCAAGTCAAACTCTTGTCTTTCTCTGAAATGATAAAAAAACAAAAAACAAAAAAACACTGATTATATTCAGTATTTAGTGTAGAAATTGTTCCTTTAATGTTTTTACATCAAACTCTTACCTGTTACTGATGCATCGTCCTTTCAGGTACTTTTCTTCTGCCTTTTTCACTGAGACATTGTCCACCCCAGCTATGGCATAGATGATGGCCTGCACAGGAGGACAATTATCTTACAACACTTGTACCAAAAAACTGTGCACAGAAAAAATACCATATGCTGTAATAACAAACAAGCACTGATTAGAGCTTTAGCTCACCTCAGGAAGAAGTACATCCAGGACAAAAGGGACACGCTCCATGGATTTCACTTCAGTCAGGCAAGGGGCGGTAGCCACGGCCGTCGCGTAGAGCTCATTTAGGTACCAGTACACCTGGTCCAACTGCTGGTCGTCTTCCAGGTATATGTTCACCACCCGCCTCCGATTGGCACTTAGAAAAGAGCGGAGCCATCTGGACTGCTGCTGCCCATGGATCACAGCCTGTAAGGGCAGTAAAACGGGAAGGATGGGTTTAGTCATCTTGTATGCACTTTTTTTAGTGCTAAATACAATGCACATTAAAAGGGATTAAAGGCATTCAGTTTGTTTTATATCTTTTTGTTTAGTAACATTAAAATCTCACAGTGGATGTCATTAGTTTTTCTTGCACTCATCAACAGCAGAGACTCAAATGTCAAATATAAAACAAAATAACTGATAGGTAGAAATCTAAAACATTATAGCTTTCATAAATATTCTGTTTGTTTCACCTTTGCACACCTGGGCACACCCACCAAACCGGTTGGGCTTTTGCAATTTATTGTGTGACATATTTATTCATTTTATTTAATTTGTTGTAAAACAATGAATGGAAAAGTCCAGTGGTCAAAGAAAGTACTAACTGGCATTGTAACCGTACAGTCATCAGCTAAACTCCTCAAATAAAGTGTCATTTTATTCCCAGTGATGGGTGACGGTGCAGCCATTACAGTGTGTTTCTGTAAACTGTGCCAACCACTGGTGATAGTCCAACATGTAGAACTGGTTCATCCTGTCAAATTAGGTGGCCCTGGCACACTGTTACCTTTGGTAAACTTCCAGTAAACTTTCAAATACTGAGAAAGAGTTTGCTAATCCAAGACCTACACTAGCAATACAGCAATACAATTGGCTCCATAAATCATACCAGAAGGCGTCTTTCAACCATGCGCTGCTTTACAATAAAATGTACAAGCTTCTCATTGGCGCGGTTGTGGGCAGCATGACTCCGGTCTGGCAGCAGCCTCTTTGAACTCCTGCTGACCTCCTCCTGCTGTTCACTAAAGCTGTCCTCCTTATGATTGTCACACGGTGCTTCAGTCATTGTATCGTTGGCGATGGTTAGCCTCTCTGACTCTCCCTCTGGGTACTTCCTCCTCACAGGATAGCCTGGAGTAAGTGAGAGACAGGCGGTAAAGAGCATCATCAAGACCAAGTAGGACTGCAGGTGTACTCACAATTTTCATTCTGCGGCAGGCTAATAATCTGTGGTGCCATTTTTAATGAATGTCATACAACAGAACTTACTCATGTTATGGGCAAAGTACTCGATGAAGGAGCCAGAAAATGAGCCACATCCTACAAAGAGAAAACACGATTAGTGCTAATAATTCAGTGGTAGAACAATACTATTTTATATATATA